TCAGCCATCAAAGCCAACTGAGTAACCTTAGGCCAATCACCAGGAGACTGGAAGTTCTAGTCCCATTTTAGGCATGAAAGCCAGCCGGGTGACATTGGGCCAATCATGAGGAGACTGGGAGTTCTAGTCTCACCTTAGAGTTGAAAACTAGCTGGCTGACTTTGGGCCAACCACTTTCTCTCTCAACCCAATCCGGTTCACAAGGTTGTTGTTGGGAAAATAGGAGGAGGCAGTTGTGTTTAGATGTGTTAGGTATTCAGTTTTGCCTTCCGTTATGTGTAAAAATAATAAGGATGGGATAAAAAAAAAGATAAGATAAAATAAAATAAAAAATAAAATAATAAAAATAAAATAAAAAAGTAAAGTGAAGAGAAGTGACACGAAATAAATTGAAATAATAAAATAAAATAATAAAACAAAATCAATAATAAAATTACCCTGCTTAACTTTAACTACTAATAAACTATATGACCGTGATGGCGAACCTATGGCATGCGTGCCACAGGTGGCACGCAGAGCCAATTATACCAGCACACAAGCTGCAGGCAAACTTACCTCACTGCACATGCGCGCACCTCACAGATGATTTTCCGCTGGTTTGAGGCCTTTTTCGGCCTCCCAGAGACTTTAGGAAGGCTTCTGCAGGCTTCTACAGGCTTTTCAAGCCAAAAACTAGGCCCGTTTCATCACTTCCTGTTTTTCCAGAAATACCGGAAGTGATGAAACGGACCTAGTTTTCATCCTGAAAAGCCTGCAGAAGCCTGCAGAAGCCTTCCTAAAGCCTCTGGGAGGCCAAAAAAGAACTCAAACCAGCTGAAAATCAGCTGTAGGTGCAGTGCAGGTAAGGGGTCGGCAGGGGTGGGTGGGTGGGTATTGCGCGCGCATGTGTAGGGGGTATGGGGGGCACGCATTGCCTTCTGGGTGTTGGCACATCAGCGCGAGCATGCAAGCGCACACACAATTTTTGGCACAGGAGTCCAAAAATGTTAACCACCACTGGTCTATGACACTGTTTAATTATAATCGCGGTATATTCTTCTTCTTTCATTTTTTAAAAAACAAAACTCACTTTACTTCTCTTGAGGATTAAAAGAAAAAGGACCACTTGCCTGTTTGTGTAGGTTGAGTTTATCAATTTCAGACAACACCCAGCCGACACTCCCATCTCCCCCGCACACCAGGATTCGAAAATTGTCAAACTTCTGAAATAACCGTAAACTGGAAAAGAGAAGAGAATTGTCTGTATTCAGCAAGAGAATCTCATCACCATGAAAAAAATCAACTAGGTTTGGAACAAAGTGTTGGAGAAATTTCCAGGGAGAAAAAAACCCGTGGCTTTAAAATAATATTATAATAGTTCTGAGCACGGAAACAGATATGTTACAGGTAAACCTCAACTTACGACAACAACTGAGCCCAAAATTTATGTCGTTAAGTGTTAAGGGAGTTTTGCCCCATTTTATGACTTTTCTTTCCACCGTTGTTAAGTGAATCGCTGAAGTTGTTCAATTAGTCACCCGGTCATTAAGTGAATCCGGCTTCCCCGTAGACTTTGCCTGTCAGAAGGTCGCAAAAGGGGAATCACATGACCTTGGGATACAGCAACAGTTGTAAGTATGAGTCCATTCCCCAGCATCCAAATGTAAATCATGTGTGTGATGACCCAAAGGGGCGTGGCACAAAGGCAACACAGTCAGATCATCAGTAGGAGTCCCTTTATTAGCTCCAACTTTGCCCCCAATGTCCTGGTTACCTTCTGGCTGGAGAAAAACTCTCCCAGGAACAGCCTTTGGCTGCAAAGAATCAAATCCAAAACGTGGTCAACAAAAACTGTAACTATAAGTCCAATCAAGCAGGATGAGGTAATTAGTCCGGCAGGGCAGGAGGAGGAATTCCAGGAATGAAGGCATGGCAATAACTCAACACGATTGGGAAGATGCCAGGGACACAGATAACCAAAGTCAACACAAGATAAACTCACATTTGCTCCAAGCAGCTGCCGCACTCAGCTTGCATCTCTCTTAAACTCTCATTCCCAGCTGTGGCTAATGAAGGGAATCAGGGCCCTTTCCTCCCCTGTAAGCCACACAACCCACATTGCTCCCTTTTCCATTCCTCCCTGAGTGCCCTAGGATGAAGAAGGGGTGGGCCTGGGTCTTCCTCTGAATTCCCTCTCCCTTGCTCTACCTCTCTCCTACTCTGCCCAGCTGGACTTTGCCCTTCCCCAGTTTCCTCCACAGCCAATCGTCTTTCTCCTCGGATTCAGACTCCGACAGGGCCATGACAACAGGACCCTGAGGCTGTTGTAATGGTCATAAGCATGAAAAAGGGTCATAAATCAGTTTTTCCACTATGGTTGTAATTTTGGTCACTAAATGAACTGCTGTAAGTTGAGGACTAACTCTATTAGGCAGAAGATTTACAACGGTATTCAAAAATGTGACTTATGACCATTTTTTTTCACAATTATGAATTTTAAAATGGAGGCTCCCTGGAGTATGACGTACAGTATTTCCTTTCCTTTTTGGAAAGGAAAATAAATATGAATTGTTCACCACTGGAGGAGCAGTTTTGTATTCTATTTTGTTTTGTTTATCTTTTGTTTGTTGTTTTTGTTGTATTGTTTTGTTTTTCAAACCTGGCAACTTGCATATGCGGGGACTTCAACTCCCAGAATTCCCCAGCCAGCAGGAGGAATTCTGGGAGTTGAAGTCCACATTTCATTAAGTTGCCAAGGTTAGGGAATCAACAATCAAGGACATATGGAATCTGCGTCTCTGGAATAATCCCAAAATGCATTTCTGCTCGCCCGCTTTCATTCCTTTCCCAAATAAACCCGGATAGAAAGTTACCCTAAGTGGGGTCCCCCGTTCATTAAATCGAAAACCTGAGCTGGGTTGAGCGACTGTTTGAAGCGCCGAAGAAATTTCACACCCTGATTGTCTCCACTCTTCGAATTCACAAAAACCAAGAGAGGGCTGGCGCAGGTGGGCGGACAGGTGGCTTTCCAGAAACCTGCACGAAAAATCAGTAATAAAATACTATCAACCAATCTAGAATCTTTCCTAGTTCCAGCACAGTTACAATCACAATTACAATCCAGAGGTTAATTCCTGAAATTTGGACTCGATTTTGAAGAGAGGATGAATGACTGTTCATTCAGAGAAGAGAGAACAGGAGTTGGAAGGGACCTTGGAGGTCTTCTATTCCAACCCCCTGCTCAAGCAGGAGACCTTATACCAGTGATGGTGAACCTTTTTGTTGTGGTGTGCCAAAAGGACGCATGCAACACCCATGCCCCACCCCCGTACCTGCACTACGCATGCGTGCGCCTCCCAGCTGATTTTTGGCCCGTTTGAGGCCATTTTTGCCCTCCCGGAGGCTTGAGGGAATCCTCTGCAGCCTCCGGAAGCTGAAAAACGGGCCTTCCGGAAATACCGGAAGTGCCCATTTTCAGCTTCCAGGGGGCCTCTAGAGCCCAGGGGAGGCTGTTTTCACCCTCCCAGACGCTCGAGGGAAGCTTCTGCAGCCTTTGGAGGCTGAAAATGGGCCCATTTCGGCACTTCCGGTATTTCCAGAAGGCCCGTTTTTTTCGGCCTCCCGAGGCTACAGAGGCTTCCCTCGAGTCTCCGGGAGGGCGAAAACAGCCTCAAACAGGCTGAAAATCAGCTGGGGAGGCACGCGCATGTGCAGTGCAGATAAGTTTGGATGGGGTTCGCATGCCGACACTAATGGATTTGCGTGGCACCTGTGGCACACGTACCATAGGTTAACTATCACGGCCTTATACCGTTTTAGACAAATGGCTGTCCAATCTCTTCTTGAAAACCTCCAGCGATGGAGACCCCAATAGTTTCACTGATCAAGTGTTCTCGCTGTCAGGAAATTTATCCTTAATTCCAGATTGCTTCTCTCCTTGATTTCTTTCCGTCGGTTGCTTCTCAACTGGCCTTCGGGTGCTTTGGAGAATAGGTTGACCCCCACTCTTCTTTTGTGCAGCCCGTCAAATATTGGAAGTGTTGTGGTTCGCTGGCAGCCTGTGCAGACAGCAGCGGAATCGGACAGCGGGGAAGAATGGGGACCGGTCAGGGAGTCTGGAGAGGACTCGGACGAGGGTCCTGCATCCGATGTGGAGATGGGGCCAGGACCATCTGGGAGTGGGGTGCTGCCTCCAGAGTCTGGCAGCAGTGAGGCAGAGGACCCAGGGAAGCCTGTTCTCAGTGCACCTGTGCACAGAGCTGCTAGAAGGTGAGAGCAGCTGAGACAAAAGGGGCAACTCGGGAGGAAAGCTGGGATGTGATTGCCCCTCCCATAAGGTATAAGGACAGGCAAAGATGACAAAACCTTTGCAGGAAGCAAAGTCGTTCATTCGGTTGAGATTCATTCTTGAAGCTCTTTGTTCTTCGCTTGGTTTTCTTTCTAGTTCATTCAACACTTCTGTTATTGGCAGCACTTCGTAGGGAAGAAAGGTGGGTGCTTATCTCGAGGAACTGTTTTGAGGTTCATTACTGGCTGGGAATGAAAATAATTCCCAGCGTTGCAATAAAACAAGACTTGTTTTTAAAATAAGTGTGTGCGTAATCACGGTCTCAAAAGCCTTAGTCAGAACAGGAAGACTGATATCATGTGTTCCACCACCACCCCACATTCCTTTTTTTCATTAAATGAGACATACCCAATTCCAGCAACCGTTCTTCCTGCGTTATAACTCCAGTCCCTTAATCATCTTTTTTGCTCTTCTCTGCACTTTTTCCAGTCTCAACATCTTTTTTGACATCATGGCGACCAAAACTGGACGCAGTAGTCTAGGTGTGGTCTTACCAAGATATTATAAAACGATATTAAAACTCTTTTCTTTTCCATTAATATGTTTTAGAACATAGAAAAATTCATCTCTGTGTTTGAATTTACGGCAATCTGCCAGGCCTCCACAAATGGAAACCTAATTAGAAGCATGAATCTGAGCGTTCGTATCTTAAGTGTCATTAATTCTCTTTATTTTAATTTATATGGACTTCGGCAAGAAACTATCTTCATATCCACATTCTGCTTGAATTGTGTGATGACCCGAGGCATGGCACAAAGGTAACACAGTCATGTAAGTAAGAAGAGTCCCTTTAATACCTCCAACTTTGCCCCCAATCCCAGGTTACTTTCGGCTGGAGAAAAAATTCTCCCGAGAACAATCTTTAAGTGGAGGAAATTCAGTCCGAAAACAAAGTACATACAAACTGTAAATAAAAATCCACACAAACCACACTGCAGCAATTAACTTGACAGGGGAGGAGAAGGAATTGCAGGCTTGAAAAGCCAGCAAAACACACAGAGTTGGGAAGATGCCAGGACCCCAGATAAGCCTTGACAAATACCAGATAACTCACAATTTGCTCTCAACAATTTGCTGTGCGCAACCTCCCTTTTTAAACACTTGTGTTCCCAGCTGCAGCTAACGAAGGGAATCAGGGCCCTTTCCTCCCCCATAAGCCATGCAACTCACATTGCTCCTTTCTCCATTTCTCCCTGCATGCCCAAGGATGAAGAGCGGGTGGGCTTGGATCTTCCTCTGAATTCCCTCTTCCTTGCTCTACCTCTCCCTTGCTCTGCCCAGCCGGACTTTGCCCTTCCCCAGTTTCTTCCACAGCCAACGGAGCCACACTCCCACTCCCTGTCAGCTGCTTGGTCTCCGCCTTGGAATCAGATTCCAACAGGGGCATGACAAATCGCCTCCCTCTCCCATCGAAGCTTTTCTGGCGTTTTTGCAAACTGTCCTGCACCGTCATCCACATCATATGTTGTGTGCAATCCCTGTGCATAAATCATACATGTGAAACACAATCGTACATCTGCCATATCAATATACATACCGTCCGAATCTATGCTGTTCAGCGCTGTGGGCGGAATAATTGAGACTTTGCACTGGCCAAGGGGACACTTTCGCGGATACGAGTCTCGGCACGCCGTATGTACCTGGAAATGGTTTTATAAAATGGAGGAGCCGTGGATTATTAAAACATTTACGAAATGGAGGTTGATTTTAGGGCGAAAATGCAAATCTGAATACAGAACATCCTTGACTTATGACCCTAATTGAGCACAATATTTCTGTCACAAAGTGAGACATGTCTTCAGTGAGTTTTGCTCCCATTGTACAACCTTTTTCGCTGCCGTGGTTGACTGAATCACTGCAGTTGTTAAGTTAGCTACACTCAGGAGTGGGATTCAAAAATCCCAACAACCGGTTCTCTGCCCGGTTGCTGGGTGGGTGTGGCCATGGTGGGTGTGGCCTACCGGAACTTCCGGGAGGGCCATTTTTTGCCTTCCCCAGAGTCCAAAGGCTTCCCTCGGGCTTTTGGTTGGGCAAAAACAACCTCCCCCGGGCTCCGAAGGCCCTCCGGAAGCCAGAAACAGACCCGTTTCCTGACTTCCAGAACTCCCGGAACGGCCGTTTTTCACTCTCCCAGAGCCTTCACGTGGATCCTGCACTTACCTGTATCCAAAATGGGCCACGTGGAGACTCCTCGGAGGGGCAGAGCCAGCCGGTCGGTTCAACTACCCGGTTCGGCGAACCAGATATAAATTTAACATCCAGTTCGCCTGAACCGGCCCGAACTGGCTGAATCCCACTCTTGGCTACACCATAGTGAAGTGACTTCCCCTTTGATTGTTCTCAAAAGGGGATCATGTGACCCTCAGGTGATGCTGCAACCATAATAAATGTGAACCAGCTGCCAAGCAACAGAATTCTGATAATGTGAGTAGGCTCTATTGTGGTTGTTAGGAATGATAGTCACCTAACAGTTGGGTTGGCAATATATAAACCAGGTTAGTAATTTAATATTGTATCTTTAAGAGAATGCTGTAATTGTGATTGGCTGAGGTTCCTCCAACGGCTATAAGATGGAGCCAGAAACCTGGTTTCTCTCTCCTTGCATTTCCTGTTTTGCCGTATTTCCTGATCGTCGTTCTACTCGGATTGCTGTGAGTTTTGCAACTGTTAGCAAACTCCGTTTCCTGAACTCTGTTTATAATACTTGACTTCGTTTTTGGATTATCCCTGGACTGATATTAACTGCTTTAACCATGTATGATTTGGACTGTTTGTTGGACTTTGTTTTACCCATTTACTGGAAGTAAAACCTACATTTTACTATTCAGTGTATCTGAATGCTGGTTGTGTGTTATTCAACACCACTCTCACTACGTTTCCCTGAGTGCACTCATTCTCCTAACGGGGAACGCCTTAACAGTGGTCATTAAGTGCAGTGGTGGTATTCTACCGGTTTGGCCTGGTTCTGAGCAGCAGAGACGGAACCGGTTTTCTCCGCTGCTCTGCTGTTGGGCCCACCTGCCCGCCCAGGCTTCCATACTCACCTTTATCCTCTGAATTTGAAGTGCAGCTGCTTTGCGTGGCACACAGAGTGCTGCGCGGCAACTGCCGAAGCAACCAGGATCGTGCAGGCTTGCAGGAGGTGAGTTAGAACACCCACTGAACCAGTGGGAAAAATATTTCAATCCCATGACTGATTAAGTGAGGATTTAGGTGTATTTCCAGAGACAGTCTCACCTGACAGTCTCTGTAAGAGCAAAGGGTCCTTCACACAAATGTAGAACAGCTGCTTTCAAACCGAAAGAGCTATTTTCTACATTATTCTATGATAAAAATATGGGTGTTTTGTTTTTTTTCATTCCAGGCCGATCTGGGTGTTCCACACCTGTCAGATGGAGTTTCTCTGGGGCTGGGAGGATTCTCTCCATGACCCCCCCCTCCCCCAAAACACAGCCACGTTTCCTGTCTCCAAAGTTGCCTAATTCAAACTCTGCCCCCAGAGAAAACTCTGGGCAGGTGCAAAAGCCCTGTGTGAAGCTGAGCAGACCACACAAAGAAGGGCTCGCCCCTTGTTGTTGTCGTTGTTGTTAGTTGCGAAGTCGTGTCCGACCCATCGCGACCCAATGGACAATGTTCCTCCGGGCCTTCCTGTCCTCCATCATCTTCTGGAGTCCATTGAAGCTCACGCCTACTTTAGAAAACACTTTATATTTTGCTTTGGGGGCAAATACAAATCTGTAATAAAAACCACATCAGCCCCAAATATGGAATCTTATCTTTGCTACTTGGCAAAATTCCGAGCAAGGGGTCAGATATTCCCGCTCCCTCCTTAAATTCATTCCATGATTGTTCCTAATTTCATCGTGAACGGCTCTTAGATGTTAGTCCTTGACTTATAACAATTTGTTTAGTGACCACTCGCAGTTACAACAGTGTGGCGATTCTGTCTCAATATTTTTCCATAAGAAAAATCTTGCTTA